TCTTGGACTGATCGCAGAAAACTGGAATGTCATCCAGTTTGGGTGGGCGCCGGGAGGATGCGGCGGCGGGCGTCACGGTGGCAGCAGCCTGTACCTGCGTCTCCAACTGCAAGTTCGTTGCTTGCTGYGACGTCCGGAAGTCCTGATGCACACGCTTGATGTTGCTGACGTCATCCTCCAAAACTTGCACACGGGTGGTAAGGGTGGAAGGCCCTGCGGCTGCTACAGCAGCTGGCTGTTTCTCCAACGCCTGCAGCCGTGCGAGCATCTGGTCCACTGTCTGCTGCAGGTGAAGGATTTCCTCCTGATGCAGAGCGCAGGTGGCCACGAGGTCGTCGGAGACCTGCGCAAGGGCTGACAGCCCTTTCTCAATCTCCGGGGCCCCGTCTGCAGATGTCACTTCCACCCAATGTGCGGCCTCATCGCCGATCACGGTCYCCYGCGTGAACAGTSGTTCCCGCTGGCGTGACCGGTGTTCGGCTGCCGCCTGCAGGTCTGCCTCTTCTTGACGAAGTCGGTCCTGTTCCTCCTGTCGCTTGGCCTCCTCCTCTTGTTCAAGCCGATTACGTTCCTTGGCCACGGCGGCAGCCCTATCGTTGGCCTCCTGAATGAATGCCGCCAGGCGTTCCTCATAGGCCAGGAAGGATTCTCCTGCCTTCCGGTCCATGGCCTTGGTCTGTGATCGAGTGAGCAGTGTCATGCACTGCTGTGCCCGAAGTCTGAAGAGTCACTCGAGGGCCAATCTGATGGACTGGCCCAGTACCCGGACTGGAGGGGGAGGAATAGGTAGAAAGCATACAAGTGGGAAGGATCGGACAGATCCCAATTTGAACAGTTTCCTAATCAAAAAGAAGAAAAACAAAACTTTAAAATTCGGAAAAAGTCTGTCCAATCCCACTGAGTACCGAAGGTGATGCAGAAAGCAAATGTGAACCTTCGGTGCTCGGACTGCAGAGAATCAGAAAAGAAGGGTCTTTATAACTCAGAGTAGGAGTAGGTTGCAAAAGAAAAAAAATGCCGTTTTTTTTTTTGTTTTCTTTTTGATTTTTTGAAAAAAAAAGAAAAAAAAAGAACGGAATTTGCAGACCTACGCAGTGAAAGTGTGAAGGGACGATTTCGGAAAAAGAATCGCGAAATTATCAAAATGCAGACATTTAACAATTAAACAAGGTAAAAAAAAAATTCTCGGAAAAAGAATTCTCAGAACGAAAAAAAATTCTCGGAAACCAAACTTCTCGGAAAAATAAATTTTCGGAAAAGAATAAGAATTTCTCGAAAAAAAAAATTCTCGGAAAAAGACATAATTTCTCGGAAAAAAAAATTCTCGGAAAAAGATATAATTTCTCGGAAAACAAAATAAAAAATTAATTCCGGGAAATTTCCAAGATTAAATAAACAATTGCCAAATAATCAATCAACTTAATTAATCAATCAATCAATCAATCAATCAATCAATCAATCAATCAATCAGTCAATCTCAGATGATTGCTGGTTGATTGATCGATTGTTCGATCAATCTCCTGATTGACTGATCAATCAATCGAAGATTGATTGGTGGCAAACCACCAATCCAATCAATCAATCCATTGATTGGTTGTTGCCAAGATTCATCGCACTAGCTCCGATACCGCTTGTAGCATATCAGAAAGTGAAATGCACTGAAAGCCTAGGATCTAGCAATGACGAAAGTGGCAACAACCAGCAGCATAGGTGCAACATTCACAAG